GTAGTGTAGTATAGCTAAAATTAAAATTGTACATAATCAGTACGTATACATACATTTATGTTCGTATATGTATTTTTAACTTTCATACATGATTACATACTTAAATGAATTTATTTTTATAACATTTTTGTTATTAATTTTTTTTTTTTTTGTATGGATATTTAATGTGAAAAATGGTTGATTGGTGGTGGTTGTGAATGTATTGTACACTGTTATAACTGTTTTTATTTTATTTGTGTGATTCATTCAAAAAAAGAAGAATAGTATGTAAGTACAATAAAATATTCTTAAATTCTTGGAAAAACATAAAATAAACAAAAAATGGTAATAAAACGAAAATAAAGTATCAAAATTACAAAACAAAAAATGGTAATAAGGCAAAGAAAATAAATCGATACCCGGCGTAATGACAAAAAATTAAAAAAATTATTGTAGAAATGTTTACGCGAGAGGGTGTGCATTAACATCACCATATGGTGGAACGTGATGATGTCGAAAATTTTTAAGTGTATTGATTTTATAGGTTTTTTTTTTGTATACATATATAGATATACATACATATGTATATGCATACTTAATATGATTAAAAATATAATTTATTACATTTAAATCAATATACATATATACATATGTATGTATATATACAAAAATGAAACCAAAATTTTGAATCACCGTTTTTCACTAATAATCCGCTCTCGATCAATATGAAATTTATAAAAGCTGTTTAGAAAAATTCCGAAAACAAAATGAAGTTTTTTAGATGATTTCCCTAAGAAAAATAAATTTTAAAAACCTATCGGTTCGGAAGTTTAAGTGAAAAAATTTTTGCGTATGCGTATGGCTATATCTGTAATCGAAAGTTTTTTTTTTTTGATTACAGATATAGCCATACGGATTATTGTTGGAAAGTTCTTGGCAAGATTTATAATTTTACTATTCTGAAATGAACATATTAAATATACATATGTAGTTTTATCCGCTGCACAATATTGCTGATATTTAATAGATTTAAAAAAAATACCTACTATGAGGCCACTTGTGATCACATAGTAGATTTTAAGATCTACAAAAATCTTAAACCAGGAAATTGATTTTAAAGCGTTTAAAAAGTTTTTTAAAACACTGTAAGACACTTGTAACTTTTTTCTTTAGATATTGTAGATATTTGCGACGGCAGAGCTTGTATTAAAATAAATTAAATATGACTTAGAAAAAAATAACTAAACTCATTCCGAAATTAAATTAAGCATAATTTACTATTTATTATTTAAACTTGAGACTAATTTTAACTATTTACTATAGGATGTTAATCGTATTTCTATATTTTTATAAGTTGCTCTAAAATCTAAACTGAAATGTCCAGCATAATTAATTACGCCAGCCATAACTGATTACCCATATTAAAAATATCGAATTTTGATTTATCAAAGCTCTACTTTTTCTTGCTAAACTTTATGTAACTCAAATATTGCGTGGAGTAAGCAATAACTCATTTTACAGACATGTACCCAAATAAGGATTTTATTCTTTATTGGTATCAAATATAATTAAGACTGAAACAAATTTTTTCTCATCCCTAATTTGTAACTCATTAAATAACCGATTCGGCCACTCTTATTGAAAATCCTATATTTAATGCAGCATATTTAGAATTTATTAAATGTAACTCGTTATATTATATAAATATTTTTGATAGATTTTAACTATTTATAGATTTATAGTTTTACGTTTGAGTAATTCTTCAAATATGGTTTTAATTCATTCAATAATCGTAAACTTTTATGTATGCACTTATTATAATACATATTTATTTGTGTATGTGCATATATACTGGATAGACGCATTTTCAATAGTATGAGTTAGTAGTAACTATTACAAGTAAATTTAGAATGTTAAAAATAAAAAATCGAAAATAAAAAGAAGACACAAAAAATTTCATATTTATTATATTCGTTTCTTGTTTTCCTGGCTAGACATTTATTTTTGACTTTGCAAATTTTTTTTTGATCCTTTACATTTGTAATATTATTTTTTAATTTTTATAATTTTCTCCTAATATTCAGTAAACAGTTACTTTATTATACCATTCCATTTTATACCAATGAATCTGGAATAATAAAAATTTAAACAGAATTCAAAATTGATCTTATTTTTTTCTAGTTTTTTAATTAGAGTTCCAAAGAACATAATTTTCTTTAACAATTGGTTAATTATTTAACGAGTGATAGAGAGGAAAGTCGGAAACAATTCAAAGAATTCAAAGAATATGTACGAATAGTTTTCGTCAATTAATGAACATAGAGATTTTTGTTATCGAACTTCCTTGGATTTGAAAAACTGCACCAAGCGATGATTGTCACTGACTGCTAGCAAAAGTTTTTCATCTGGCTGGGCAGAAGGTAAATTCGGAAAGATTATATCAATGCACCGAGAAAGCGTGGATATTTTTGGAATGAAATATTCATGTTTACACGAAAAAATAATATGGTCATCAGGTATAGAAAAACCCTACCGTGAAACTTTAATCAAAAGTTTTAGAATTCTGAATCTTCTAGTTATTTCATGAAATCACAAATTATTAAGTATTTCAAAGAATAAGAACATAAACCAATTATTTTAGAAGATTATTTTTAATAAAAGTCTTAGTTTAAAACAAAAAGAGATGATATTTTTAAATAATGAATCGCTTATTATTTTGTTCTTAAAAAATTCGTAAATATTTGCAAAATTCGGCGCTTTAAGGATATAGTTAAGCCTTGTTTAATAATTTTATCGGTATTACTTTTATATTGAGAAGTTGATTTTATTAGTATAAAGTTAAATTAAACCAAATACAACGACAAATAAATTGTTGAAAGTTCTTTTCATTAGAGTTTCGAAGTATGTTCAAGATTCATTCATAGTAATCGTTTGATTTTGTAAATGACAATCACCTGCAATTAAGCAATTTTTACAGTTGATCTATTAGAATTTCATTAATCATTTAACCTTTAAAAAGTGTAAAAAAATTAATAAAATTATAGTGAATTGTAGTGATAGTATCAGAATTTGTGACGGTTACGTCATATTGCCTTGGAATTCATGAGTAACTTCAACAGTAAGCATTTGACATATTGGGAAATGTCATTTTATAACTATTACTAGCATAAAGTAAATAATTGTAAAAATTTTATTTAAAATCAATTAACAAAAAAAAAAACAAATACCCACATGTACATAATATTGTACATAAGTAATTTATTATGTATACGTACTATATATGAGTGTTGCAGCAATATACGTAACACAAAGATATTTTCCATTTTTTTTTTATTATCATCTAATTGTTAAATTGGCCTTTTGAAGTCTGGTGCATTATTTTTAATATTTTTTCTTATTTTATTTCATAATTTTTTGTTTGGAATTCTCATCTTCAATAATGTAATTCTTGACTATACTTTTTTTGATTTTTTGTGACCTCAACGACTTTTGATATTTTTGTTGCATAGAGTTTTTTCGTTATGAGCAGGATGAGGTCATAAACTCTCTCTGTGAAATGTTAGGAAGCAAGAAGAGTAATGGATATAAAAAGTATATCAGTTACTGGTTAATGTTTTTTAAATATTAATTCACTTACTCATATGCTGCATCTTAAATGTTTTAATATTTTTATATATCCTTAAAATTTCAGTGAACTTTAAACATTTGAAAAAGTTATAAATTTATGATATACTTTCCTGTAACCAGAGATCAACAATCAGCAGCCTTTTAAAACTTTTTGTTCGGCCCGCCAAACGACCAAAATATTTTTGCAAAAAATCAATAAATTTATTGAGTGTGAGAGTGACGAAATCTGTTTGGCTCTAACAGAAGCACAGTAAGAGAAATCTATTTTATTGTGCGGAAATAATTCATATTTTATCATAGGAATAATTAATAAAGTACCAAAGAAAACAAAAATGAATGACGAAAATCAAGATTTTAATGAAAATTTGACTTAAACATTATTTCTTTATTACTTAATGATTACACAGAAACGCTATTATGCTTTATTTGCAAAGAATCTATAAGTACATTCAAAGAATTTAGTCTGCGCCCCCACGACAAGCAAAAAATAAGTATGATAAATATGGGTCTCAATTCTGTTAAAGCTACATTTGAATATGTGGCCTGTACAAGATAATTTAATTTTGAAACTGCCTCGGTGCGCGAAAAGGTTGCTGACTCCTACTTTACACGGTAATGGTTTTTGGAAGGTGTTTTTTTATTCTCTATAATAGTCTTAATTCAAAATTTTTATTGTTACTATTATTACCGATCACATTCCATACAATTTACACATAGCACAAATTCAGTCTTACCTTGCCGTTCAATAAAGGTTCAAAGAATTGCTCTTCGAATTTAGAGTCACAATCCTGAAATTTATAATCAAAAAACCTATAAATTAATTTGACAAAACCAGGATCTTGCTTTTAAACTAAATAAAATACTTGTTCATTAAACCAGTTCTTTCAACAAATACAGAAAATTATGTTCATCTGTTACTGTAAAAATATGTACACAAATGCACAAGACTTATTAAGGTTTTCTTGAGGGGACTGATTTTTGAAAAACAGATGACAAAAAGCTACATTCATTATAATGAAAAAATTTCCCAAAATATAAAATCAAATTTAATACAATAAATTTTTATTATGTTCTGAACAATAAATTTTATGTGTAGGTAGCTTTGTTAATGTTGTGTCAAACTTATTTAATAATAACAATATATTAAAAATAATGTAATAAGGTCCCAAGTATCGCAAATATGTTATAAAAAAATATTCAAATCTGTAATCTATTGATCCATTTTTATTTAATTATCAATTACATTATATTTTATATAATATGTGCATATCTACATATTTGAAACTTAAAAATATAATCTATTAAATTTTATTAAACAAATGAAAATTAATTAACATTTTTCCTTTTTCTTTCCAGAATTTTTTTAAAAAAACTTTTGGCCTTTTTTGGACAAATTCTTCCTTCAACTTTAAATTATATATGTATGTAAATTATGTATTTCTCTTAAACGAAATTCACCACACGATAGAATTAACCATACGGAAATGAAAATTTCATCATAATAAAATCTTATTATAATTAAAATTAAATTAAAAAAAATCAATGAAATAATTTAAAAACGAATATTGAATTACATAGAATAATATTATTATGCTGGGTCGTCCATTTCCAGTCAGTATATTAAACCCAATAACGCATTTTAATCTCATTATTTTTAAATGATGTCTGATATAAGGAACGAGAAAAATCTAAAATCAAACGAAATGCCAGGTATTTAAAAAAGAAAATTAATAACTTTTATTTTATAAAAAAAAATCTTCCCATAGTATCTGTATCTGGTTTGAAACGGCTTCGGCAACTGGAATCATTGATATTAGAAAACGGTGTGTCAAATATTTTTCTTGGCTCTGGTGATGGAACGAATACAGATTTACCAAATAATCCGGGTAAATCGTTATCTGTTGAAGCTTTACTTGACGCATTACTGGTGCTGTATGATGAATGTTGTAATTCGTCACTACGACGTGAAAAGACTGTTTCAGATTTTATAGAATTAGGTAATCGTTTAAAAGTGCTTGTTATAAATCCTTTACAAATTTATATTGTTTTATTTTAGTTAAACCAGTTATTTTATTGCTAAAACAATTACGCCTGACCAGAGATGATTTCGAAGTTCTAAAAGTTATTGGGCGCGGCGCTTTTGGAGAGGTTTGTGTTGTTCGCATGGTTACCACGAATCAGATATTCGCAATGAAAATTTTAAATAAATGGGAAATGTTAAAAAGAGCAGAAACTGCATGCTTCCGTGAGGAAAGAGATGTATTAGTTTTTGGTGATCGCCGTTGGATAACAAATTTACATTATGCTTTTCAGGATGAAACTAATCTTGTAAGCATTTGATGTGAAAAAATATCTTTTGTAATTAATGTAAGCTATAAAATTAACTTTTAATTTGGTTTTTTAGTATTTGGTCATGGATTATTATTGTGGTGGTGATTTGCTTACATTACTAAGTAAATTTGAAGATCGCTTACCCGAAGACATGGCACGATTTTATATAGCAGAAATGATATTAGCAATTCATAGTATTCATGAGCTTAGATATGTTCATCGTGATATAAAACCCGATAATTTAGTATTAGATGCTAGTGGTCATATTCGTTTAGCAGATTTTGGTTCATGCCTAAAGCTTGGCCCTGGTGGTACTGTACAATCTAATGTTGCTGTTGGAACACCTGATTACATATCTCCAGAAATATTACGGGCTATGGAAGATGGCCAAGGGCGTTATGGTCCTGAATGTGATTGGTGGTCACTTGGGGTTTGCATGTACGAAATGCTGTATGGTGAAACACCATTTTATGCTGAAAGTTTGGTGGAAACTTATGGAAAAATTATGAATCATAAAAATTGCTTCGACTTCCCCCCTGATGATGGAATCGATTATCAAATATCAGAAAATGCAAAGGACTTAATTAAACGTTTAATTTGTTCACCAGAATTTCGTTTGGGTCAAAATGGAATTGATGATTTTAAGAAACATCCATGGTTCGAAGGAATCGATTGGGAAAGTATACGTTTAGGTCAAGCACCATATATACCTGAGGTTTCAAGTCCAACAGATACTTCAAATTTTGATGTAGATGATAATGATATTAGATTATCAGACGCTGTACCACCAACTGCCAATCCAGCCTTTTCTGGTTTACACTTGCCTTTCATAGGTTTTACATTTACACAAACAAGTTGTTTATCAGATGTCGGAAAAATTCGACGTGCCGATGCTGGTACTTTGGATATAATGACAGAAGCCGATGATTATAAAACAAACAATATAAATAATACTGGCGCAACAACCGGTGAGGAAAAGCGATTAAGTCCAGATAGCACTAGAAGATTACAAGATGAAATAAACATACTGACAAAGAGAAATTGTGAATTAGAAAGCCAAATAAAAAGTTTCGAACGACAGGAAATGCAAACAAAATCAAATTTAAGCAGCGGCCATGATTCAATTGACGGGCAAATGGATGCTAAAATCAAAGATTTAGAAAAACAGATTAGAATTTTAAAACAGGAAAAAGAAGATTTAGCAAAAGAGAAAGGAGATGCGCTAGAAAGACTGAAATCTCAAGATATTGAATTAAATGATGCTTTAAGTCAAAGAAAGTTGGCTATGACAGAATACTCAGAAGTTACAGATAAACTTTCTGAATTAAGAAGCCAAAAGCAAAAATTGTCGCGGCAGGTAAGATTTAATTTTTCTGTTTCATTCATCCATCTAAATATGGTTCATACTTAATTTACCTTGTAGGACAAGCCCATTTCTAAAAACTTTTATTAACTAATATTGTTTCTTATGTTTGTGTTTATGACAGAAAATCGAATATGCATTAAAGTTAAACCTGTATGAATTCAAAACCGCTATTCTGAATTTTTGTAATTAAAACAAAAAAAAAAACAATTATTTTGTTTCTGGAATTGAAAAATTTATAAAAAAAAAACTGTAATTTTAATAAAACTAATTTGATAAAAAATTTTTTTGATATACGGATTTAGTGTAGTGGTTAAAATTGTACGCTAGTAATAATGTGACGACGGTTCGAGTCACCATGAAACCACTTTCATATAAATTTTTTTTATATTGTTCTTTAATTTTTGAAAGAAACATTATGTAGCTAGGACATAAACCTAGATAGTTCATAATAAAATAGGCAACAATGTTTCTATACATTTTCAAAGAAAAGTAAAGCATACACCAATTGCGGATTTGAAAGCATTTTGAAACAAATGAAATTTATGTACTTTGGTGTAAATGTTAAAAACCTCTAAAGTACTTGACTGAATTTTGCAACATGAGTTCAAATCCAATTTGGAGGAGAAATTAAATTGCATTTGCGTTTTTATAATAAGATGTTATAAAAAATAAAAAGCCCCACTCTTTGGCTCAGCTTTACGAATCATATAGTGAAGTATGGAGAATGCGATGTGAGGGCATAAAAATGTTTGAGAGTATTAGCCTTCGGTGTCCAAGTAATTTATAGCATGGAACCCATCACCCTCGTTACTCCCAACATCTTTTTTTTAATTATATGTATCATAAAACACCTTTGATAATAATTTAATGAAAAATAACGTAGGTACGCGATAAAGAGGAAGAATTGGAAACGGCGATGCAAAAAATTGATAATTTACGTAATGATTTACGTAAAGCAGATAAAAATCGTCGTGAGATGGAATCACGTATTGAGGATGTCATTGCTGAAGTTACAAAAGAACGAAAATTACGAGAACGTTCTGAAGAATATTGTAGACAATTGCAAGCTGAAGTTCGCACTCGAAGTACGTCAGATTTAGGATCATCATCATCATTGGGTGGCATTTCTTCGGAAGCTTCTCGACTAGAAATTGATCGTATTGAAGTTCAGTTTACTGAAAAGTTAAATCAACAGCAATCTAGGTTTAATTTGGAAACAGCTTCGTTGCGAGAACAACTGAATGAAGCAGAAAAACATCGAGATATTCTTTACCGTGAATTGCAGCAAACACGAGAAAAATTTGACACAAGTCGATTGGAATCACTAACTGACACTGAAGAAACAATATCAGAATTAAAGAAACGCTATGAGCGTGAGAAAACTTTATGGATGGACGAAAAAAGGAAATTATTAAATGAAATCGAACTAGTATCAGAAAATGGTCGTAGAATCCAAGCACAACAAATGCAGGTTGAAAACGATTTTGAGGAGTTAAGGTTAGATTTGTATATGTAATTGCACATACGAGTATATGTATGTATATAGTTGTTGTTATAAATAGTTTAGCTTTTTTATTTTGAAAAATGGAAGAAAATTAATATTTATATTGCAATTATAATTGTTACATTAACAATAATATTTTAGAAGCAAAAGACAAGCAATCAGCCAATGGGAAAGACAAATGGCCGAAATTATACAGTGGGTATCAGATGAAAAAGATGCTCGTAGCTATTTGCAAGCTTTAGCAAGTAAAATGACCGAAGAATTAGAATATTTGAAACACTCAGGTAAGGGTTTGATTATTCATATCTAGATCGATTAATGATTTTTTATGTAAATAAAATTTTAGGATCATTACATCAGAACAGTTCCGACAAAAATTGGCGTAATCGTAGATCACAGAAGTTAGATAAAATGGAATTATTAAATCTCCAAAGTTCACTGCAAAGTGAAATACAAGCTAAAGCAGCTATTTCAGAAGAATTGAGTCGTACGAGAGCCGACTTGGTCGCAGCACAAAAGTTAATAAAATATATTTTTTTGCATTTACACTAAATAAATACGGTTAAACTAATTAACCATTATTGTCTTATTTTTAATTTTAGGGACCTACGGGAAGCAAGGCAACGTTGCGACTCAATTGGTCATGAATTAAAACGAAAAGATAGTCAAGTTAGGGAGTTACAGCAACGTTTAGAAAATAGTGAAGGATGTAAGTCAAATATTAAAAAATACTCCTCTAATTTTACAAAATTAATCAATACTGTATTATTTGAAATGTTAAATTATATACTTAGTGTTTGGTGATGGAAAAACTCATATAAAAAATTTAGATAAAAAAATGTTCTCTCTTTTGTTTTTGATCATATTCAAATAGAATTTGAGGAATTGAATTTTTTAGTTCATTCAAAAAACATTGTTTTGAAATTTGGAATTTTAAATTTTAAGTATTTTAAATTTAAGTATGTATTTAACGTTATATATTATGAATACTTGATATATAGTAACATAATAGCATACAGATGTATGTATTTGAATTTTTATTTGTTCAAATTTTTTCTAAACTTGCTAGGTAAACTATTGACGGCTAACTTTCTTTTCTGTAACACTATAATTTTATAAAAAAATTTGAACAAATAAAAATAAAAATACTGAAATTATGAAATACATATGTTGAATATATACTTACTTAGTTTTCCTTTAGTTATACTTAATAATTTATTTTATTATAAACAAAAATAGAAATTGAGAAAATTATGTTTCTATTTTTATTTTAATATATCTTGAAGTTTTGTTATATCAGCTAAACTGTACTTTTTAATTATTTTTTTTGATGAAATAATTTTTTAAGAACGCTTTTTTAATTTTATAAAAATTTATTTAATATCTCAACATAATTTAAACGAAAATGAAACATTTTTATTTTCATGTAAATTGTAAATTATTTAACTGATTTAAGTTGATCTAAAATATATTCAAGTAAAGAGATTAGATAATTTATTAGTAGAAATTGTATATTCATTACTAAGGGTATGAAATTTATAAGAAATGTTAATTAAATACATATTTTAAAATAAAAGTCTATAAAGATGTTAAAATTTGCATGGGAATTTTAATTACTTTTTTTCTTCCCTAAATTCCGAAATTTTTTCTTTTTATTAGTCGAAAATTCCTAACACATATTTCTGTGTTTTAACGTATTTTTAATATTAAAAATTATAAGTTATTTTCTTACTAATGAAGTAAATTAAATTCAATATCAAGGTACTATAATAATTAGTAAAAATTTGAACATAAATATTATTTAAAATTAAGTTTCAAAGCCTTTCTTTAACAAAAAAAAAAAAACACATATTTGTTAAATATTTTCCTTCTAGCTTAATTTTTAAAGCTATAAATAATGTTTTTTAAATTTTTTTGACTCTACTTTTTTTTCGATTTTCAATAAAACTGTGTTTAATTAACATTTTTTTTTTAATTAATAGTACTAAATCTGTTTTGTAAAGTGATTAAAGTTTATTTGTAAAACAGCGATGTAAAAACGTTGTAAAAATTTATTTTAATCTAATTATTTAAAGTATTCTAAATTTTTTACTTCTTGTCGTATAATAACAAATTTTTACATTAGGAAATAATACTTTCTGAAATATGTATATGCTTTTTTTCAAATATGTCCGTAACCAGAAATGCCATTTGCAAGTTGGTTGCAAATGAAGCTTAATTGTAAATGAAATTGATTACGCTAATGTTAATAGCTTAATTAAGTTTTAAATTTGCAATTTTTGGTGCATTTTTGGTTTGCTGCTTCTGGAAATGACATTTCCGACCACACAACATAACTTACAGGCAACGTAATATAATACAAATTTCAAAATATTTATAAAGTTTTCTTAATTTTTTCCTGTGAATTATAAAACAAAAACAGGAAATTTATTTCATACAGTATATAATCAATTTTTGTTGCGCATAAATTATCGCCTTTGTTTTTTTAGATACATTTCATGAGGTGATGGTTTATTGTTATAAAACTATGAAAGTTTTCAATGTAGAACTTCAAATTTCGTAATTGATTATTATAAAAATTACAAAAATTTTTGAATAATACCTCATCACCCCATTCTCTTGAACGGATTGTTTCAAACGTCTAAGAGAACGTAGCTGAATGTGTCTTGAAAATGCAAATTATTTCATTTATTTATTTTACATTTAACATTGACTGAATTCTTTACTTTGAATATTTGTGGAAAATGAAATTATTTTATAAGTTTGTTTATGCAAAGTATATTCAATCCTTTTACAAAAAAGTGTAACACAAATTATTATATTTACACATATTCATTGATATGTATTAAGTTTTCTTCTTGATTTTGTGTGTGATACATATTGTTTTAACCAAAAAATAAAGGAACAAAAACAAAAATAACATCAAATAGCTAACTTCCCTTTTCATATGTATTTATTAGTTTATTGAAATAATTAGATTCGTTTTGGAAGGTATATAAAAATTTTTAGTTTAATGTTATTTTTATTTCTTATATAAATATTTTTTTTTTATTTTTAAAATTATTATTCCACAAAAAAGAAACAACTCAAAACAAAAAAAAATTCAATTAAATTTGGTTTCATTTACATTATTTTACCACAATCTAAAAAAAAAAAAATCAATTAATTTTTTAAGGTTTTTATTTGTTTTTTACGACTTATTCCCTAATCATCTTTATTAAGTAAAAAAATATTCTAAGAAAATTTATGTAGCTGTATTAAATTTAATTTAAATAACTAAAGTTTTTTTACATGATCTTAAGAAAATCAAATAAATTTGCTAAATCAAAAAATAAATTTTAAATGCAATTTGATTTCATTAAAAAAGGAAATTATTGCAATGAAAAAACAATATTTTATGATCAATATTTTTGTTATAATAATAAAAAAATTTGATAGATTAAGGTCAAATCTCCTTCGAATTTGTTCAACATAACTATTTCACTGTGATATAGGTATTTTCATATTTATAGGAATTTTTACAAATTATTTAAATAATTACTTAAAAAAATAGCGATAAATTTTTGTAAGAAAATATCTCTTTTAAAGATATAAAAGGTATAATTTACTTCATAAAAATATTATTGTCTTTAAATGATAATATGCAGTTATTGATTTAAAAGTTTTTGATTTTCCATGCAAAAGTTTTTAATTTTATTAAATAATTTTTGTTTTGTTCTTTCACATTTATTATTTTTCTTTTTTTTTCTTTTTTTCTTTTTAATTTTTTACTCCTCTAAAATAAATTTTTAAAAATAATGAAATATTGTAAAATAAACATTGAAAAATTAAACAAATACGTTTATTTAGTACGTCGTTCATCAATTGGGACGACATCAGATATATCTAGTCAATTAGATTACAATCATAGTAACAGTACACCTTCTTTAATACCATTAACAATAAGTTGTTTCAATAATAATAATAACGAGAATGAAAATTCGAATATTAATAACAAAAATAATACAATATATAATGAAAGTATGATTACTTCAAATGAAAGTCATAACAAAATTGATTTTAAACATTATGAGACTGAAATAGATAATTTATCTGCAAGTGCGACAAATGCAAGCACTGCAAACATTTCTAATTTGGCAACAACACCTACAACAACAACATTAAATTTAATTGAGCAACTCGGTGAAATATTTAAGAAAAATAATGAAAATAGTGAACTTTTGGAAGAATCTTCCAAAAATAAAATTGCAGCAAAAAGATCATTTTCAAAACGAAGAGATTTCGAAAAAAAGCGTCGTGAGAGTGAAAGTGAAAAATTTGTTAATGAAATACATGAAAAAGAATTGCGTTGTGAAAATATTGAAGATGATGATTTAATCGACGAAAATGTTTTTTCTGATGCTTCTATGGCTCCAAATGATAATATATCGAATTTATCATTTATGGTATCCAGTGATAGTGATTTACGTTATAGAGATGACGATTGTAATTTTTCTGATGCGATTTCATTAACAAGCAGTTGTGATACTTTTGATGAGGATGAATTTATAGCGAACATATTAAGTAGCAGTACAGTAGAATTGAATGAAGTTGATCCAAATATTAATGAAAACATCGGTGGCACTGAGCTAACAGAATTTGAAAAAGAAATTGTTAACAAATATATGAAACAATTGGAAGTCAATATAAATAAAGTTGAGGAAGATCTTCTACAAAGTCGCAATAAACCGCAACAGTTGCCACAATCAAATGAAAATCTTAAAAGTCTTTCAAAAATAAATTGTAAGAATACAAATCTACTAAACAAAACAGAAAACATTGAAGAAAATAATGATCATGAATGCATTGAAGAGCATGCTAACGAAATTAATATATTAAATACTAATACTGTTAACGAGAAAAATATTAACGATAAAAGTAGTAATAATAATAATATTAGTAATAATAATAATATAAGCAATAATAGTAATAATAATAATAATAATAATATTAATAATAGTAACCATGACAAAAATAACAACAATAATAATAACGACAATAATAATAATAATAATAACGATAATATTTCGAAAAATGAAAATAATTGTGATAATCAGAATAATAGAAATAATATTCATAATATTGAAACTCGCATTAATAATGATAACGATTTAAATGATAGAAACTCAAGTAATGAAACTGTAAATGAAAACATTAATATTAACAACTTAACAAATGAACAAAACTATTTTGATAACAAAGTTAATAATAATAATTTAAATAATAAAACATGCAATAATTCAGAAATTGGGTTTAATACAGAAAATATAATGTATATAAATAGAAACGTATCAATTGAAACTAGTATCTCAAATTCAGATTTGAGTAGGAGAAAATACATTGAAGCAGATAATACTAATTTTTGTAGTAAAAAATTACATAAATCAAATATCAAATGCCATATTAATTTATTGATTGGGTTTTTTTCATGTATTTTAGGTATAATTTTTCTATTTATTCGCACTTATTTGAATGAAAATTCAAATTAAATGTATTTATTTCTTAGTAGACACACATAATTGAAATTCGTCATATAGATTAGGTATTTTGATCCTGCAAACATTGTTAAAAGATATTAAAAAAAACTAGTTTTTTTTATTTACAATTCTTAAGATATTTTATTTAAAAAATTGAAATATTGGGAATCCAAATTGTGTTATTTTAAAATTATTCAAATAATACTCACTTTGCTTAACTTCTTGAAAAAGCTGTTGTTGTATGTGTTGCTTGCTTCGAAGTTTCGAATATTACGAGCCATTATACTTAATTGTATACCGCACTTTATACGTTTTGTTTGTAAATAAATGTATAAAACATTCTTTAAAGTGCTATTTAAAAGCAGTCTATTGACTTTTCACGTTAATCATGTTTGCAAAAAGAATAAAATTGGCTTAATGTTTTTTCATCAATTTTAAATTGAAACATTTTGGAAAGCATGTTATAAAACAAATAAATTGAAAATACTAAGAAGTATTTTTGCTAATATGCATAGCATAATTCTTGTTTTGATGGTGCGAACTTTTTTTTTTTTCAAAAAATTAGTTTTAAATTATGTTTTGTTTGTTTTTTCGTTACAGTCTTTTTTATTTTGTCGAATTTTTAATTTTAATTTTATTTTTTGTTATCTGTGTTTTTTTTTGTTTCATTTACTATTTATTCTTTCAGATATTCGAAAATTCGAAAATCATTTAAAAAGAAACTATCCGCGTCGCACAAGATCAACACAAACAGCAACAATATCAGCCGATTCTTCAAATCAAGCTCTCGATTCTACCTTTCCCAATGATCATAAATTTTTTGAATCCCATAAAAATGAATTGGAAAAACCTTTTCAAAATAATTTTTTAAATAAAAATATTCAAAATAATAATAATATAATATATAAAAATCCAAATTCGAAAGATTCATCTCATTCACCTATTAAAAAATCCAAAACTATTGATATCTCAAAGGAACTAAGTAGCCAAAATAATAATTTAAAAAAATGTAATAATGCTAAAGGAAATAATTCAATTTTTTTAACCGAAATCAACTCAAACGAAAAAAATGTTAATGATTTAGTATATTCTAGTAGTAGTTTACTAGTAATTGCCAAAAACGATGATGATAAATCTTACAACAACAACGACAATAATAAAAATAATAAATATAAGAACATTATTATTAATAACTTTAACGATGATAATGATAAGCAAATGAATAATTATAATAATAATAATAATAATAATAATAATAATAATAATAATAATAATAATAATAACAATAATAATAATAATAATAATAATAATAATAATAATAATAATAGTAGAAGTAATAACAATAAGAATAATAATAATAGTAATAATAATTCGAATAATAATTCAAATAATATTAAAAATAGAAACATTAATCGAAAAAAGCAAAAGTCGAAAAAAAATCGATAGAAATACGAATTTTAATTTTTGAATACTAAATTTTTCGATATATTATATTAAATTTTTGAAGGTAATATGAATGTTTATAAGGGTTTTATAAACATCCTCAACCCAGCGATTATTTATTAGCGATTGAATACATTTAATTTATTAAACACGTTAATTTCATATGCATATTGATGAGTCACTTAAAATTTATCGGTTAATTCGATTTGCTTACACAAATATTCTGTAGTACCTTAAAGATCGAACATCATAGCTAGTGCGATAATTTTTTTTTTTTGTTATATGAACCCTTATTATCTTAATAAACATCATTTAAACTCGAAGTTTGTATCAGTATAAGGTACCAATAATTTGTCTAAAATTACCTTTTTTTGTCCGTGTGACTTTTCATATACATAAGTAGAAACTCTAAGTTATTTCAACATTTGGTTGTAATATTAAAATAACAAGTTCAATGAAACGAATCTCGAAATACTGTTGTTTAAAAGTTTGAAAAAATAGTAATTATATTTCTTACCTATTAAACTCATAATTACATTATATGTTTTTGTCTAAAATAGCAAATTTATCATAAAATGTTACCATATTTTAATTTGTTCAAATTTTTGAAAAACTTTTTAAAAAAGCAAATGCATTCAAATTTTTGTTAACTTTGTTTTATAAAATTTTTTCTGTTCATTTGTTTTCACAATATACACATACAAAAGTTTTTGTAATCTATTTAAAATTTTATTGCTCGCTTATAAAATTAAGTTATTTAATTTTAAATAAATGTACACATAACAATGTGTACATATATATTTTAATACATATATATATATATATATATAAATATTTAAATGTTGAAAATATTATTTAACTTTTTTTGTATATCACTGTTTCTCTTTATTTTTAATACATATACAATTTATGCATAATATCAAAATAAAAAAAAAATAAATTTCAATTATGTTGTATGTTTATAATTTATTTCTATTTCAAAACCATTAATATTTAAAATTTCAAATAGAATGTACGGAAATTATGATTAAAAAATTTTGGTTATTATGGTTATTAAAGCGGAGTTACATTACATAAATATTTTACAATAGATGAGAAAAAGATTAAAAAAATAGTAAAGTTAATAAGCAGCTGTTTTTTTTTGTCTTTTTTTTTTATTTGCTAAACTCGTCACAAATAACACCGAAATTAAAACAACATCAATCATTACAAATTCAGTACAACACAAAAAACATTGTTATTTACTGTTAAATTAAAAACTACATTTCGCATCAGCTCATTTCCTTCTATATGGTTTCTTACATTATTTATTTGAGTAAAAATTCATTTTAAACTTCATTAGATTTAGTTTTATATATTAAAAATATTATAAATATAAAATTTATTTTTTAGCTAATAGTTTGTTTTTCAATTTGGAAAAAAAGGTTTAATTAATTTTTTGTGTGACCTCTTTTCAATTTTTTTTTTTTTTGGTGATAAAAATTTTTCATTTAAACTTGTTGTATTTTGTACATAAAAGTAAAAGTTAGATATATAATGTAATAATTGTAATAATTTAATAATTGAAATAATTTAATAACTGTATAAATATTTTTATTAAAATTGTTTCCCTTTCTGAAATCACAGTTTATTAAAAAAAATTAAAACAATTTGATCGGTACTAATTAGGGAGATAATATTTAATTCTAATTAGGGAGATTGAATTAAATAATTAATTAAGTTATATTTTAAATTTACTACTCAATAAAATATTTTTTTTCAATTTTTATTTCATTATATGAAAATATTAAATGTTTCAATTTTAAATTCAAATGTTTTTATTTTTAATAATTCTAATTATTAAATATTTACATATTAAATATTTACATTTAATTAAAAATAATTCTAATTATTAATTATTAATTCTAATTCATTAAATTTGTGTGTAGCTTTATTAGGCATTATAATCCGGACTTAATTTTCTAATTCTGAGAACTGTTTTAGCTTATTTTTCTTAGTAGACTGTGATTTACATGAGTTATATTATATTAAATGGTTCTTCTCTTATTTTAAATACGTATAAAATATTTTTTTGAATTTAAATTTGGAAACCTAAAAAAAAGTACAAGAAAATTAAATTTAATAAACCCAAATTTGAAATCTTTTCGTAACCTGGTTTATTTCATATAATTTATTCTATTTTTTTTCGATAATATTTAAAGCACGCACCATTTCTGGAAAATCTATCAACACCTGGCTAAATAAAGCCGGTAATGGTTGGTTTTTTTTTTTAACAAAAACAGATAAATAAAAATTTTCATTGTTTAAAATAAATTTTTTTTTTGTTTTACAATTTCTTTCTTCTTTGTATGTTTACAATTTCTCCTCTTTTTTAATTTTGATCTCCTTTGTTAGCGAAATTCATATTTTTTTTTAATATCATAGCAAAAAGTTTTGATTCCATTTAAAATATTTCATAAAAATTGTTGACTTTTTTAAAAGAACATGCCTAAAATTATTGCAATTTCGTTTTTATGTTGTAAAAAATAAAAAAATTTAATTGAATTTTGTTTTTTTTTTGCATAAGTTTGTTTTTTTAATACATTTAGAGAGAAAATTTTGTTTTGAGTTGAAAAATGGAGAACTTATTTTTATATTTAACTAAGAAAAAAGTTCCAAAAGTTTATTTAAAATATTAGGAAATATTTTTTTGTTTTCGTTGTTCTCGTTAAACAGAATTTTTGGTTTAATAACAAATATACATTTATATGCATATATATTTTTTAATTCTTTAATTTATTGAGAGTTCTTTATGCTTTTGAATAAATAATACATGTATGAAAAATTTAGCTTTTTGCTTCTGAGTGGCTGGGACATATTGATCAAATAATTACTTTCACTAATGAATTAAAAAAATTCTAATTTTCAAAAAAAAAGCTATTTATATGCATAACATAATTTTTAAAAATAAAATTGGTATTTTTTTTGATAAAATTGCTTCAAAAATTTTTTAATCATTTCATCAAAGTAGAATGTGTGTAAATAAATATGATTGGGTATCATTACATTTTAACTTTCTATTATTAAATTTATTTATTTTTATTTTTACATGACTCAGAAGCAATTGGTAAAATTTAGTTTAGTTCCAAATTCACTTTTACAATTTGATTAGTTTTTAATTTATTTTATAAGCAGTTTTAAACTTTTTTAATTAATAGTTATGAAAATTTCTAACAAAAATTTTTTATCTTTTTTTTATGTTTTTTTTTGTTTCATTTTTCTACGTTTGAAAAATAATTAAAATTTTCTAAAATGACTGCTATGAATTTTGTAAAATAAAAAACAAAAACTTTGTTTTTTCTATTAAAACTCGACGATCCTTCATCCTTTTGTTCAACACAACCTTCTTTATGTTTGTGTTTGTGTTTTTTCTTTTTCTGTGAATATCGAAATGTTTGAAATGTTTTGTTGTTTTTTTTTTGTTAACAACTTTTAATTATTCTATTTATAATTCAAAAACAATAAACAAAAAATTCATCAAATTAATAAAATCATACAAAACATTATAAAATATTTCATCATTTAATGAACTAAAACAATTGTTAAACAAAAAAAAAACTATCACAATTATTATAATATCGCAAATTGCGCCCAAAAAAAATTTCAAAATGCTCGCTTATTAACGCCTGCAAAATAAAATTTATAATTTTCTTTAAAATATTAAATGCGAATTTCTAATTTTTGGAAATAACTTATTACATAATTTAATCTACAATTAAAAACAAAAAAAAACAATCTTCCTCTATTAAATATAAAACAACATCGACTTGGTTTTCGAAATAAATTTACGAAATTTCTATTCATTCATCTATCTTTGAATAATATATTGGAAATTGGTTAAAATATAACGAAATTATAACATGCGATATCTTTCGTATCCATAAAAAAATAATTCTTTTTGCAATAACGTAACGTTACCGTTTCGTCTTCATTTATTAATAATTTACAATAATTTTATTTAAAAATGAAATATTTATAAAAAAATCTGGATAAAAAATATCTAAATTAAAAAAAAACACATTCATAATGGTTGGTTGGTTGTAAATCGATCAAAAACTTTAATGCAAAATAAATGAAAATTCAAAAAAAAAATTGGAAAAATACAAAAATTCAAAAAAAAATCTAGTTTTGGAACGGCCATCATCACAAATGTCATATTTAGATCATTTCTTAAAAGAGTCTGGAGGAAAAAGTAATGTCGATGCTACTAGTATAGGTGGAGGTGGTTCAACAACACATACAATTTCATCAGCACTTGGAGGAAATATGGTAAAGAATATAATATGTACATACTTATTTGAATTTTTCTAAATTTTTATAATGTTTTAGCATCCCTCATCGAATTCAATTGCACAGTATTCACCACATCAACAGAATGCACAAAATTTGTCATCTGCATCTTCGTCATCAAATAATATTCATAATCAGCAACAACAACAACAGCAGCAGCACATATTATCACAACAACAACATTTAGCTCATGCACAACAACAGATGCTTCTTCAACAGCAACATTCAATTAGCGGCGGGGGTGTTTATTCAATTGAAAGTGAATTAGATGGTGAATTGGATGATAATCGTGCTCATAGTTTATCCAGTTCAAAATCAAATCTTAGTGATAATTCAATGGATCAGCACAGTTTACACAGTTCAATAATACAAAAGCAAAAAATTCATCAATTCTTGGTACGAACATTTAGTAGTCCAACCAAGTGTAATCACTGTACATCACTAATGGTCGGTTTAACACGTCAAGGAGTAGTTTGTGAGCTATGTGGCTTTGCTTGTCATACAGTTTGTTGTCAAAAGGTTCCTACAACTTGTCCAATACCGTCAGACCAAGCAAAAAGACCATTAGGAATAGATCCAACTCGTGGTATTGGTACTGCTTATGAAGGTTATGTTAAAGTACCAAAAATGGGTGCTGTTAAACGGGGTTGGGTTCGACAATTTGTTGTAGTTTGTGATTTTAAATTGTTTTTATATGATATAACATCAGATAGAACCGCACTGCCAAGCGTCAATGTCTCACAGGTGCTAGATATGCGTGATCCAGAGTTTGTTGTCACTGGTGTTCGAGAAAGTGATGTTATACATGCAGCTAAAAAGGATGTGCCGTGTATATTTAGAGTAAAAAATATATATTGTTATATCAATTACAACTTTAAGTTACTTTTATATTATTTCCAGATAAAAACATCATTAATTGACGGTGGCCCATCGTCACATACTTTAATGTTAGCTGATACTGAATCAGAAAGAACAAAATGGGTCGTAGCCCTGAGTGAATTACATCGAATATTAAAGCGCAATAATTTACCAAATACAGCAATATTTAGAGTACGTGAAGTTCTTGATAGTTTAGCATTGAATTTAATTCGAAGTGCATTAAGCGCATTAATAATTGATCCAGATCGCATATTGTTAGGAACGGAAGATGGCCTATTCTGTTTGGAATTAGATCAAAGCGGTATGACAATTTTTCATTTAGATGTATACTCATATAAATTTTTTATTTCGTTTATATTTAGAAATAGCACGTATTGGGGAAAGTAAACGGATTATACAGCTTTGGCATATTGTCGAAGAACAAATTCTAGTCGTATTATGTGGTAAACAACGACACGTGCGTTTGTTACCTATTCGAGCATTAGAGGCAACAGATGTTGAATGGATTAAAGTAGCTGAATCGAAAAATTGTATTACAGCTTGTACTGGCATTATTCGTCGAAGCCCACAAATTGTTTATTGTGTTGTAATCGCATTAAAACGACCTAATAATCAATCACAAATAATTGTTTATGAAATTAATCGAAATCGTACTCGACATCATAAAATGTGCGAATTTACTGTGGCATATCCGGTTCAAAGTTTGCAAGTTTTAACTGATATGAGATTGGCAGTAGGCCATCAAAGTGGTTTTACTTCATACTTCTTACAGGGTGAAGCTCAAGCAGTGCGTAAGTATTAAACACTTATGTGTCTATTAAGTCAAACTCGCATTAAGTCAAAAATTTTACATAAAAAAATTTCAGCTCTAGTCCATCCAGAAAACCAATTATGTGCGTTCTTAAATTATTCTGGGGTAGATGCAATACGGGTAATAGAAATTCAAGGTCCAGGTAGTGGTGGATATGGGGAATATTTGTTAGTGTTTCAAACTTTAGCAATTTATGTTGATTTACAAGGGCGGAAATCTCGCGATAGGGAAATTATGTATCCAGCTGTACCGACGCATATAAGTAACAGAATATTTTTATGATTAAAATATACTTTTCAACATTTTCATATTGGTTTACTCTCATTTTAGCGTATTGTGACGGTCATCTACTAGTTTTTTCTGAAACCCATTTAGACGTTTTTAATACCCAAACAGCCGAATGGGTCCAGTCAATTGGATTAAAGCGCTCCCGGCCATTGAATAATCAAGGAAATCTTGGTTTGACATATATTAATGATTCTCCGATTGTTATTTATTTAGCTAATATGCACACAAGTATGTAACTTTCACCAATGAAAACAAAATTATTATCAAAAATGTACAAACATTATTATTAAATTTGAAATATTTTACAGGAGAGCTTTTAAATACACATAGTGAACGAGATGGACGTTCAAAGCCTAAACGAAGATTTTCCATGAGAGAAGGAAATCGAATTGCACGAACTTCGTATGTTAATAATTTTTTAACTTTTTTTTAAAAGGCTGTTAATAATTAAGTTAAAACGAGTCACAACTAATAACCCATACATATTTTTGATTTACTCATATATAGTACCGATCGAAGATCAAAAATGATATCAGCACCAACGAATTTCAGTCATATTTCGCATATGGGACCCGGTGATGGTATTAAAAATCAAAGATTACTCGACTTACCAACGACCATAGAAACAGCTGATCAAACAGTAGTTCAGCAACAACAGCAAAGATTATCAATGCGTCATGCACCACCACCACCGAGAGCTCCACCACGTCCAGCTGGTTTACCACCTTATAATGGTGAATTATTAAAAAGATTTACAATTTCTCTTTTATGTTTTATAAAGATATAAGTTTTAAGCTTAAAAAAATATACATAAATTTCAGGAGCAAAACGAATAGCACCTGCAAGGCCTCGAGAACAACCACCATCCTTACCAGCTCGTTCACCTAGTCCTTTAGGAAGTATGTCTTCTTTACATGATGTTTTAAAGGTAGGACTAAAATAAATTTTGTTCATAAAAATTTGTTTTTAGTTATTTATTTAAAAAAAAATGCGCTTGATGTAATTTTAGTAGTTTTTTTTCGCTAAATCTAAAGCATTTATAATACTTACATTTCTTTTTTATTTTTTTATTCCCATTTGTAAAAAAAAATTGAATTAATAGGTCGTTGATATGCAATCTGGATCGAGACATAGTGTCGCTAGCAACAATTCTAGTTCGGTTTCAAGTCCTCCATCGCCGAGTGGTGATCGCTTGAGCTCTAGTTATGACTCGTAATTAAATTTTTAATTTTTTTTTCTTAAAATTTAGAAAATAAGAAGTTTTTAATTTCTTATATTTATTTATAATAAAAAAATTAATACTATAATAACCATTTAATATGTAACCTATTAACAAATTCACACTCATTTTCACTTCCAAAAAAAACAAACAAAAAAAAGAGAGAAAGTGTTAGAGTACAGCAAAATAATTAAGTTAAAAACACACGAAAAAATAATCATAAACATATAAATGAAATATCAAAAATTAATTTACATTAACGCTAAAATTTAGTTTGCTATTTTCACATACATTTTATAATTCGACAATAAAATTTTATTTGTAAATAACATTATTAAAATTTTAGTTGCAAATATAGGTACATTTTTCTCTTTTCTCATATATTTTTATTTATGTTTAGTTTAAATTAATTTTATTGTAAACTTCTATACAAAAAATTATTTTTTGATTATTGTTTATTTTAGCAAATAAAAAAAACTAGTTTGGAAATTCTTTTGGAACATTGCAGACAATTGCTCTTGTATTTAAAATTTTTTATTCTCAGTTCTGTTTTACATTAATAATATGAAAGTATTTTTTTTTAAATATAGAAAAAAACTGCAAAAACTAATTTTACATTTGGGAAAAAATAATTGTTGAAAATATACTCTTGACACTATGTATTCCAAATCATTTGCAGTTTTATTAAAATAATAAAAATCTAAAAATTTATTCATACTCTTATTCAAACTCTATTATGTTTTGGTAGCAAATTAAATAATAATTAATGTCATTGCTTAATATTAAATTGTATACTTCGAATAACTTACAAATTATAATAAAAAAGTATAGAAAAGTTGGAAAATTTTTTTTCAATTACTTTGTATTGAACCTGCAATTAAGTTTATATAATACAAAATTAATGCGAGTATGAATTACGACATTTATAGTTATTTAATCCATAATTCTATAGCATAACAAATTCTATACATATTGTTAAATTTTCAACAACCTAATAATTTTTTGCGACAATTTTTGGTTTTGCTCAATTAATTACAAGGGGACAAGAAAACTTTCCAGATTTTGATACATATTTTAAATTTTTATAGTATTTTAAATTTTAATTTTTTTTATTAGATGCTTACACAAAATTATGTTTAATTCATTGCCACTCATGTCATTCATAAACAAATTTTCATAAATTAAAATTCTCCATCATACTTTAATAAAAATGAAAATATTTTGTCAAATTAATATCGGGATCAAATTCATAAAAAATTAAAAAAAAAAATTTACTGTATTTCTTTAATTTAATTACTTATTAATATAATTGGTTTAATTGCTGTAATAATCAAAACAAAATTATGATAAGCTAAATTATTTAAAAGAAAATCTTTTATTTGTTTTTTTTTTCTTTGTATTTTTGTTTTTAAATTAACCAATTTGGCATCATTTTCCGAACATTGTGTTTTCACAATCGGTAATATATAAACACTCAACAAAATTTAATCTGCACATGTAGGGGCAAGTGAATTTTTCAGTTAATTGGAGTTATGCAATGGAAAATTCATCATACGAAATACAAGAAGCAACAAAATTTTTTATGGAGATTGACAACATTGTAAATTTGATTTTTAGCATGCAAAAAAATTTGATTTTCTATTTTATATTTAATTATAAATTAAAATTTTTACTTTAGAATTATTAACTTTTATGTCTAAAAATTTACAAAAATCAAAAAAAAAACAATTATTTAACAGTAAGATGCTTTTTTAAAATGATGATTTTCAAATTTTACGGCTTCTAAAATATTATGTGGGCAGCTCTTTATAATAATTTTTAATAAACAATAAAATAGCAAATTCTATATTATGAAAACTTGTAATAAAATAATTAAAATAAAGTTTCATTTTGAAGATCAATAAATATTTTAATGGTATGAACTTATTTAATTTTTAAAATTAAAAATTTTATTCAAAATTCAATTAATAATTAAACTGGAGAAATCAAAATAACTAATTTACATATACATATTTTGAAAAAGTCATTAAGGTTAATATTGTTTTTAAACAAAACTTTAAAAATTCTTTATTTAAATTATTTATTATTTTTCAAAAACAATATGTTAATATAAGTGTAGTTTCGAGAATGTAAATCATGTATGCTATGTTTTAACGTTAAAGTACTTACTTATTATTGTACGAATTGTAAAACTTTACAATCAAGTATATTTTTTTGTCGGCCTTTCGATTAGTGAAAAGTGAAAGCTTATTTTGTCTTCTTTTTTTTCACTTTTATTATTTAACAAGATTTCAAACATTTAATCAAATAATAAAAAAATATTTTAATAATATTGTAATCGATCACTATTTAAAATAATTAATCTTTTATACTAGTTAAAAATATGTTTGAAGGAATAAAACTATGAATAGTGCAACTAAAAATTGTTATAATCTCATTTATTTATTCTTTTGTTTGTTTTATAATTTAATAGATATAATTGTAGATACTTAATTAAATAGTCAAAAATCCAAAAAAAAAAAAATAATAATAAAATGTCTTGCGAATTAAAAATTACTTTGATTTTTAATAATATTTAATTCGGCATTCATAATTACAATAACTTCAATAATATATTGGTATTAAAGAATATTTTTTTTTCTGTAAATAAATTCGAATTTTATTTTATATTTTTTATGTTTTATTTAATGACTTTGATATACATCGTATTATAGCTACTTTTCTTTATATAAGTAAATAAATTTGTGTATTTAAAATATTTTTAAAAATTAAATTAATAATGTATAAATAAAGTATTTAAGCAATTTTTTAAAATATGTTAAATAAAAATAATAATCAACCATGACAAATAAAATTATAAATCACCACTGCATTTTAAAATTTTAGCTATAGTTTTATTCATTTCTTCGTCTATTATATATCAGAGTCATTGTAGAAAATACGTAGTTTGTTTATTATTTGTTTTAATTTCATATAATTTTATAATTTTAGAATAATAGTGAATTATAATAAAAAAGATTTTTTTTCTCGATATTGTAGTTTTTGTGTTATTTGAAATAATTGAGAAAAATAATTTAATGAATATTTCGTATTTATATTATTAAATAAAGCTTTCAAATGTAATATAAAATTAAAAAATAACGCATGGTAAAATAAGAAATATTAGATATATTAATATATATGTATGTAATATATTCTAAAATAAATAAGTAAATAAATTGAATATTTTTATTTTATTATACCTCGTTTTTTTTGCTTTGTATTTATTTAAATTAATGAGAATTTCCAAAACAGAACTTTATTAGTCAGTAAACATTTTTTTTTCCAAAATTCTTTCTTATACCAGATAATGTTATTGACATATTTCTAAGTAAACAATTTGAATAAACAAAATAAAAATTTAAAATTTATATAAAAACATATAAAAAATTGTGCGGTTAGTAATATTTTGAAATAAATTACATTATACTTACTTATTTAAGTAATAAAAAACTATATTTTAAAAATATGACTATTATTATTTTTTTAAAAATGTATCTAAAAATTCCTAAGAATTATCTAAGAAAGAAAGATTCGAATATGTATATGGTCGAAAATAACTTTTTTAGAGCCCTTTTGTGGCTAGCTCAAAACAAGGAGTACACTTAATAAAACATAATTTCTTTTAACTTTGCGATTTTTAATAACGTTAAAGAAACGTAGAAAAATTTTTTCTTTCGAAACTAAAATTTGATTGATTTGAATGAAAATATATTCAAGTATAAATATATTAATCGAATTAAGTTTTTGGGTGGCACAAATCAAATTCAACGTACTGCTTATTCCTTTACTAGACGAACACATATATTTGAAACAATAATGAACGCGTTTTTTTTTTTTGAAATTTCAATATTTTGGCTTTATTTGTTGACAAAAACAAACTTGTGGACTTTTTAAAGGAATTTTGTTTCAGGAATTAGAGCTTTAGAAAGGCCTATTTATTTTCGACCATTTTTTTAGAAGTTTTAAATTTTAACTTAATTTACACCGACACTTTGTCTAAGTTCGCAATTATAAATAGTACGATATGTAAATACCACTTTGGAAATACATGTTAATATAATACATATTTACAACGAATTCGATCATGTACTAAAATATTTTTTGAATATTATTTGTCTTTGCCATTCCATAGGGAAAATATTTATATTTTATTCTTGACCTTAGAAATTTTCTATTTAACAATAAAATAAGCATAACCTTAGACTTTCAATGTACTAAAATAATTCCAATTTTCGTTTAGAAAATCAAAACAAATTTTTTCATAATTTTAATATTAGAGTTTACATTTTCATTTTAATTTAATTAAACCAATCATTATACATATTTACAGTTGCCTAGACGTGTTTCTCAAGTAGTTCGTTCCAAAAGTTTGCGTGCTCTAAACAGCTTCAGATTGAAAAACACCACCACAATTTATGTATTTCCATCAGAAGTTTAAAATTCATTACATTTTATTTTCAAAAATACATAATAAAAAAAAAACAAAATAAATAAACAAAAAAAATTAACACCTAATAAAAATTTTAAAATAAATTTTAAAATTCGTAAAACATTTTTTATACATTTAAAATCTCAAGTTATATAAAAACATACATAAACATACATATTATGTAAAATTGCATACATTTTGTACACAATATTCACTGCCTATTTAATAATATTTTGTGTTGTTTTAATATTCTAAGTTTTTGAAATGGTTGTTAAATACTTCACATGATTTTAAAATGCCTTTAAGATTTACACATATGTACATATGTATTTAAGTGTAAATTTTGAATTTAACAAAAAAAAATAAATTTTGGTAATTACGTATGAAACGGAATACTCACTTTGTAATAATTAAAATGTAAATGAACTGACATATTTTGAGAATTATTTTATTTAAATTACATAATAGTCAATTGAAATTTAAATTATATTGTACATAAAAACTCTTAGCAGCCATAAGTGTACTAGCTGCTGCTTACAGCTTATATATCATATCCTTTGATTTCGAAAATTTATAGCTTTCAATAATTTTATTTGTACCAAAATTGAAGTTTTACATACTGTAGACTTTAAATTACATACATATATATTGATTTTTTTAAACTATCCCAGTATGACTTATTATGCAGTTTATTTTCTACTAGCGAGATGTGAATTCGTAGATATAATTATAATTGTCTTAAAAAGTAGTAAAATTATTAGTTTAAAAAATTAATGAATAATAATTTCTATTTTAAAATAAATTGGAAATTAAGGTCTTACGTCTAATTTAAAAAAATATGTTGTAGACATGGAGGAAGTGAAATACTTTTGAATTAAATTTTCTGTTGCCAATATTAGTGTGCCGCAAAATTTTTTCATTAAAATTAACGAGTGACAAAAAAAAACGATAAGAATGCTCTGCTCTAATTTAATAAGCTCAAATTTCATAGTGGTTATGTTGCATTTATAACTGAAATTCTTATTCAATCTCTTAAACACATCTTATTCGATGAGTTAGAAGGATGTTAGTCTTATACATATTCGTACAATTTAATATCTTTTTTTTTCCAAATATAATAAATTATAGTATAATAAAGGTATAATAAATTTTAGTCGACTTCATGTCACATGTTTAGACGACTTCATGTTTTTGAAGATGACAAGTTCAGTCCTTATATTGAAATGAGAAAATTAAGAAAAAATTTAAGAAAAATTAGAAAAAATTTAATTTCAAAAAATTAAATTTGAAGTTTGACTAAAGAATGAATCGTAGCCTATAATTACTTAAGCGAAATTATTTTTCAACATTTTTATCGAATTAAATTCATGTGAAGTATACAAAACACGCTTACTTACTACTAGTTAACTAATTATATATAAAATGTATATAATATTATTTTCCAATACAATTTTTTATTGAATTTTTTTACCTTGTTTTACATTTTTTTTATTTAAAAAAATATAATATTTAAGTTACAATAAAACATTATGATAATTACATACATATGTGTTCTAAATAAAGTACATACATATTAACTTAATAGAAAAAAAAACACTTAAATTGAATCCTATATAAAATAATTCGCTTTATGATATATTCAAAAATTTTTTGAAAGTTGCACTTACCATTTTAAAATGTTTTTGTTAATTTAGTGAATCTACATTTTTAATTATGAAAATGTTTAAAATTTTCTTTTTTAATTTTTAACAATATTTTTTGTACTTCCCTTTACTAATTATATTTTTTTTATTAGTTAACTTGCAATAATGTTGATTGTTCTACTAAAAAATTCACTGTAAAATAGAAAATTAATATTAAAACAAAATTTTTGAAGCTTCTGTATTTCTCACAATTTACTTGAGTTATTAAAACTTGGAATTTCGCATATGCAACTTTTAATTATTAAATAAACAAAAAAAAAAAGAAATTTTGAAAAAATTGTACGAAATCAATTTTTTTTAAATTATTGTTACATATAAATTTTAATCATTAATTATTTGAAACTTTATTTTCAAAATTTAAAATAATTATTCAAATACAAAATTTTCAGCCTGTGTGTTTTATTATATGCGTTTGATTTGTATTTATATTTTACATTATTTACACTAATTGTAAACTATTTCTATTATTTTAAATTTTGTAAGGCTATTGAAAAATCTTGCGTAAATATTTTTTAATATTAATAGGAAAAAAAACATTTTAAACAATTAATTAATATTTCCACCTTTCTTTAATTACACGTATACAATAAAATATGTAATAGGTTTTAAAATAATTATTAACATCAATCATATTAAAAATAAACACAAATTATATGCATAAATATATAAAATTATATAACAGGACAGAAAAAGAGAAATAATAATAGATAAATTAAAAAAGAGTTAAACCTGAATTAAAAAAAATTCATTATGACAATATTGAATATAATAGAAGAGATAAAATTAAATTGTATTTATATTACTATTGATAAAATTAAAAAGAAAAGTATAGAGTAACATATACATAGCAACTTTGATAATATAAATATTATGTATACAATATATATTATATACATATAAACACAAATAAGGATATAAGCCGTATAGATGTATGTATATATATATATATAAACTATTCATTAACAATTAATTATTATTATTATTATTATCATTATTATTATTATTATTATTATTATAATTATTATTATTATTATCATTATGAATATATATATATATATATATATATATATATATATACATGTATATTGCATAAAAGATAGTTATTATACATATTATTAAATTATAGTTTTAAGGCAAATAAAAAAATGCGTATTTTTCATAATTATTAAATATTGAAAAAAAGATAGTTATAGCGATTATACATAATTAATTATTTAATTAAAAGTTTTATTAAATTGAATTTGCATTATAGCATTATTATTGTTTAGATAAGAAAACTAATTCAATAAAAAGAAAACAAAAATTAAGATTTAAAATTATAGATCTCATTTAAAAATATTATAAATACAATATACAAACACAATGAAAAAACAAATTAGTAAAAAAAATTAAATAAACTTTTATATATATAAAAAAAAAAAAAATTATTAATTTTATTTATATAAAATATGAAAAAATTAATACAAAATATTTATTTCCAAGTTTTCAAATGCAACATTTGTTTAAAATAATTGGCAATTAAAAATAAAATTTATTACTTTAAATTTCTGCGAAAGTATAAAGTTATTACCGTAACGCTAGTTAAAAACAAATAAAAAAGAACAAAAGAAATTAAAAAAAAAGTTAACTTCTTATATTGATATGTTAGTACATACATATTCAAACATAAAATTATTTATATATACAATGTAAAATATTAATACCA